CGAGACAGGTGGATTATGAGGTCAGGAGTTCAAGACCAGCCTGGCCAAGATGGTGAAACCCTGTCTCTACTAAAAATATAAAAAATGTAGCCAGGCACAGTTGCAGGCACCTGTAATCCCAGCTACTCGGGGAGGCTGAGGCAGGAAAATTGCTTGAACCTGGGCAGCAGAGGTTGCAGTGAGCTGAGATCTGCACTCCAGCCTGGGTGACAGACTCCGTCTCAAAAAAAAAAAAAAAAAAAAAAATGAAATGAGTTTTCTAGTTTTAGCTCTTACATTTAGATCTTTGGTACATTTTAATTTTTATATGTTGTGTGAGGTAAGGGTCCAACTTCATTCTTTCGCAGGTGTATATCCAGTTGTCCCAGGATTACTGGTTGAAAAGACTTTTTTTCCCCGTTATTTTGGTACCCTTGTCAAAAATCATTTGACCATAAATGTGAGGGTGTGTTTGTGGATTCTCAGTCTGTTGATTTGTGTAATCTGCCCTTGCTATTCTGTTGATCTATATGTCTATTCTTATGCCAGTAGCACACTGTCTTTATTCCTATAGCTTTGTAGTAAGTTTTGAAATCACGAAGTGTGAGTCCTCCAATTTTGTTTTCTTTTTCAAGATTGTTTTGGATACACAGCAGATTCCTTTTTTTTTTTTTTTGGTAGCAACAGGGTCTTGTCTCAAGTGATCCTTCCACTTCAGCCTCCCAAAATTTGGGGATTACAGGTGTGAGCCACTGAGCCCAGCCTCTCAGCAGATTCTTAAAATACACTTGTTGATTGGCTGCTTGTTTTCTTGTTTCCTTGATGGACTGGCCAGACAGTGAGAGCCTAGCTGGCCTGCACGCTTAAGTGACAAATTCCTCTCCCTACTCCAGCCTCCCTTCATAAGGCATTTGGCCAGTAGAGATCTAGGCAGTTCTAGCTGAGCTGCCTTAGTCCAGGGCAAGGTAGTAAAAGAGAATTTGGCAGGTTGCAGCTGGCTCCCCAAGCAGGAGATCTAAATCCAACTCATCCTTCCCCCACCCTCCCCAAAACATCTCAGCATTCCTTCCTCTTCTGTCCTTGCCTTGCAGGCTTGGAGCCTGGGTAGTTAGAGCTCTATCTAGACTCACTTCTGGCCACATCACACCAGCTCTTCCCATGTGCCTGTCATCCCACCACTCTCCTGCCCCTTCCTAACCATGATTCATGGCAAAATCCTGCAGGATAGAAGCTATCTGTCCTGTCAGGTGGGGCTAGTGCAGCAGCCTGGCCTTCCTTGGTGGCATCTTTGGTCACCCCCATAGGTTCTTTATGGACTCAACAGGAATGTCACGTGAGCTGCAGGTACTGATTTTGCTGATGGATGATGAAATTTTTTTCTTCCCTGTTGGGCTTTCAGTCCTTGCCTTAAGGAGACCATAAAAGAAGTGGTGGGAGGCCAGGTGCAGTGGCTCACGCATGTAATCCCAGCACTTTGGGAGGCCGAGGGGGGCAGATCACTTGAGGTCAGGAATTCGAGACCAGCCTGACCAACATGGAGAAACCCCGTCTCTAGTAAAAATACAAAATTAGCCGGGTGTGGTGGCAGGTGCCTGTAATCCCAGCTACTCGGGAGGCTGAGGCAGGAGAATCTCTTAAACCCGGAAGCAGAGGTTGAGGTGGGCCGAGATCACGCCACTGCACTCCAGCCTGGGCAGCAAGAGTGAAACTCTGTCAAAGTGATAAGCCGGGCACAGTGGCTCATGCCTGTAATCCCAGCACTTTGGAAGGCTGAGGCAGGTGAATCACTTGAGGTCAGGAGTTCGAGACCAGCCTGGCCAACATGGTAAAACCCTGTCTCTACTAAAAATACAAAAATTAGCCGGCCGTGGTGGCAGGCACCTGTAATCCCAGCTACTCATGAGGTTGAGGCAGGAGAATCGCTTGAACCCGGGAGGCAGAGGTTGCAGTGAGCTGAGATCATGCCACTGCACTGTAGCCTGGGCAGTAGAGCAAGACTCAGTCTCAAAAAAAAAGAGTGATAAACCCACTGGGTGCAGTAACTCATGCGTGTAATCTCAGCACTTTGGTAGGCTGAGGTGGTAGATCACTTGATCTCCAGGAGTTCAAGACCAGCCTGGACAACGTGGTAAAACCCTGTCTCTACAAAAAAAAAAAAAAAAATACACAAAAATTAGCCTGGTATAGTGGCACATGCTTATAGTCACAGATACTCAGGAGGCTGAGGTGGGAGGATCACCTGAGCCCAGGAAGGTCAAGGCTGCAATAAGCTGTGATTGTGCCACTGTACTCCAGCCTGGGTGACAGAGTGAGACCCTGTCTCAAAAAAAAAAAAAAAAAGATAAAACCAAGTCTGACTTCTTCATCTCCATTGCCTTCCTGCAGGGTAGGGGGCAGTCTGTGCACTGGAGATACTTAGCCCAGCACCACAGCTACCTGCAAACTTGGACCAGTTATCTAACCTTCATGAACGCAGTCTCCTTGTTGGCTAAATAGGGATACTTCCCTTATAGGATGGCAGAATGGCAGGAGCAATTAAGAATTCAGTAGGAGCAAAATGTTCATTATCCTTGGTAACACTAGTTACCATTTACTGAATGTTTTCTTTGTGCCATTCTCTATGTTAGTGTTCAGATTAGGTCAGATGGAATAAAGGAGGAGATCTCATGATCTCCAGCCATAAACAAGTATGTGCTGAGCATCTGCTCTGTATTGAATCCTATGCTGGTCCTCATGTGTGTTTTTGTTTGGGGGGTTTGAAAAAGGCCACCTGTGTGGGGTACAGGGGAGCATCAGGAAGAGCAGCTAATGGATGCTGGGCTTAGTAACTAGGTGATGGGTTGATCTGTGCAGCGAACCACCATGGTACATGTTTATCTATGTAACAAACCTGCACGTCCTACACATGTATCCCAGAACTCTAAAAGTTGAAGGGGCCAGGTGCAGTGGCTCACACCTGTAATCCCAGCACTTTGGAAGGCTGAGGTGGGTAGATCACTTGAGGTCAGGAGTTTAGACCAGCCGGGCCAACATGGTGAAATCCTGTCTCTACAAAAAATACAAAAATTAGCTGGGCAAAAACAGAAAAAATTATCTGGGTGTGGTGGCACACACCTGTAGTCCCAGCTGCTTGGGGGCTGAGGCAGGAGAATTGCTTGAACCCGGGAGGTGGAGGTTGCAGTGAGCCAATATCACGCCACTCTACTCCAGTCTGGGCGACAGACTCTGTCTCAATCAATCAATAAAAGTTGAAGGGAAAAAAGAAAGAAAAAGGCCATTTAATTATCCCCTCTCTATACAGATTCTCAGGCAATTGAGAACTGCACAAAGGAGTTAGGTAGAGGTAAAAATAGAGATTGTATTATAGGTAGAGGTCCAGCCAACACATGGCTCAGACCCACAGCCAAAGTGTACCTTCACCCCCTCCCCTTTTCTGTTTCCTGGTGTAAATCTGGGTTCCAGGCTGCAGAGCAAGCAGCATGGGGAACGGGGACACTAAAGGGCAAGTGTCCTGGGGGACTTATCTGGAGCTGTCAAGATGGTAAGATCAGTCCTTTTGCCTGCTTACATGCAACTAGGTGCTGCTGTGTGACCTCTGGATAGTCCTGGCCCTACTGCAGGAGGGCCCCAGGTGTACACCCTGCTGACCCCACCATCAAAACCTCTGGAATGTTGATGCTAGTTCTCCAAATCTGTGCTTTCCATGTACCATGAAACTTGTTGCCAACTATAATTTCTTGATGTGTGCAAGTGGATTATGTAATACCCAACCCATAGGATGCAAGAAGGACTGGGGAGAAAGCACTTGATCAGGGCCTGGCACTCACTAGGCCCTCAGTGGGGCCATCCCGGTAAGCCTGGTTCAACACCCAGGGGAACTAAGCCTGCTGTTGCAGATTATCAGCCGTCTGCCTGTGTGCCGAGAAGTCTCTTCAGGGGCCAAATGGTCAGGGTAAGTCTGTGTGCTGAGGTTGGAGATGTGGATTTGGGAGTGATCAGGGCTCCACAGAAATGCATCATTGAAAGACAGGCGTTGGTGCAGGATGGGCCTACAGAGGTCCATTGTCTGTGCAGTGGGCTTTCAGTCCCATGTTTCAGACGTCCTCCAGGTTTGGGATGGGAGGGGCAGAGTTGTTAGGGGAAGGGACAACACCCCTGAACCTCCCTCCAAACCCATATTTAGGATTGTCTAAGGCCAAATGGTGAAATAAGGCCATTGGTTTCCCCAAGGCCCCCTGCTTCCTCTTTCTGCACCCTTCTACTCTTTCAGTGCCCTTCCTCCAAGCACCCGGGAAAACAAGAGTCCAAAAACAAAAAACTCCAAGACAGAGGGCAGCAAAATAGGAGCCAAATGCAGCCCACCACCTGCTTTTTACAGCTCGTGAGCTATCAGTGGTTTTTACATTTTTAATTGGTTGAAAAAAATATTTTGTGACACATGAAATTCAAATTTCAGTGTCCATAAAGTTTTATTGGAACACAGCCACAACCATTTGTTTACAAATTGTCTATGGCTGCTTTCAGCTGAGTTGAGGAGGTATAGGCCTGCAAAGTCTAAAATATTGACTCTCTGGCCCTTTAAGGAAAAGCTTGACAATGCCCTATTCTAGGATGTGTATTGCACCCAGGAGATCTGCTTTCCAAGGAAAGGGCAAACCAGTCAAATCCAGGCAGATGTGCAGAGGAGACACTGGACGGGGAAGCCTTCCTGATCCTTCCGGTGACACTGGAGGAGCTGAGGGGAGATAACTCTCTAATCCTACCGATGGGACTGCTTCTGTCCACACTGAGTTAGGGGGCATGGAAACAGTGGGTTCAGGCCTATGACTTATTCTAACAGTATAGATAGCAGGATTCAGAAGGTGATTAATAGTCTCCAGTGAGCCCACCATACCAGCTTCCCTGCCAGGCTGGTGGCAGTGATTTTACCTGAGGCCTTTCATGTTCCCAGGGTCCTACAGGCTGCCCTGGGCCGGCCGTGAGCAGTATATTCATTGCTTACCTTTCTCCTGTCTCTGCAGAGTTTGCCTTCTGCCAGGTGGATGCCTCCATCGCTCTGGCCCTGGCCCTGGCCGTCCTGTGTGATCTGCTCCAGCAGTGGAACCAGCTGGCCTCTGGACTGCCCATCCTGCTGAGATGGCTGTTGGGAGACAGTGATGACCTCGTGGTCTGTGTGGAGAGCCTGCATCAGGTGATCCTGGGGTGTCGGGAGTGGGAGGCAGGGTTGGAGTGTCCTAAACCCGCTGGATGCAGCACCTACAGCCTCAGCTGGGCTTGTTAGTGCTTACACACAGAGCAGTAACCACTAGGAAAGCCACCTACTGGGTGCTGCCGAGGGCACAGGGACACTCTCAGGCTGACTTCTGGGCTGCTGATGGTCAGCCTCCAGATTAGCCAGGGGAGAGAACTCGCAAAGAAGCCCCTGGATGCGGAGAGTTTAATTATGGAGACTGCTTGTTAGTCAGTATTGGAGTTAGCCTGGAGCTTCCCAAAGTTAGGTCTGAGGGTGAAGCATTTTCAGAGAATTAGGATCTTTGCTGGGAACTTCCTGCTTGAAGAAAACTATTACTAGTCCCCTCCAGGGTGGGTGCAGTCACAGATAGGGAAACTGAGGACGAAGACAAGCAGCAAAAGCCTCCTGAGAACTGAAATTGATCGCCACCAGTATCTGACTTAGCTGACCTTCTTGGCATCCCCAGCAGGCCAAGGGTTCAAAAAGCATTGTCCCTGTTTATGAGAAATTTGGAGACATGGTAAGTGTCTGATAAAATGACCTTGAGAATCATGGTGTTATAGAAACAGGACGCAGCCTAGTGTCCTCTGTTTGGAGATTCCTTCTCTGGCCTGCTGCAGAGATGACCTTTCCTCCCTCCTCTCCAATTTCCAGCGGCACCTTAAGCTCCCTTGTTGCAGTCCCCTTTTCAGCATCCATCCCCTAGAGTATCTTGACTTTGCACCACAAACACATCTTTATCAAGGTCATGTTAAGTCTGGGGAAAAAATTCCTCTCTGCTGGAGAAATACAGTGAGTAAAAATAGAAGGTGACCTTCAAGACTGCAAGTGGTGTGTGTACATGGGTGTTGACAGGCGAGAGTGCGCCCTCTGTCCGGTGGGGGAGGGGACATGACACCCTTCTTGTACCTGGCAGGGTACTGCTTGATCTGGACTGGGGCTTGTCACCATTCCCTGTAAGACTGACTTTTGGCTTTTTCATCTGATTTAGGTGGAAGAAGACTACCTGTTTGAAAAAGCAGAAGTCAACTTTTGGGCCGAGACCCTGATCTTTGTGAAATACCTCTGCAAGCACCTCTTCTGTCTCCTCTCCAAGTCTGGCTGGCGTCTTCCAAGCCCTGAGATGCTCTGTCACCTTCAAAGGATGGTGTCAGAGCAGTGCCGCCTCCTGTCTCAGCTCTTCAGAGAGCTTCCACCAGCTGCAGAATTTGTGAAGACAGTGGAGTTCACAAGACTACGCATTCAAGAGGAAAGGACTTTGGCTTGCTTGAAGCTGCTGGCCTTTTTGGAAGGAAAGGAAGGGGAAGACACCCTAGTTCTCAGTGTTTGGGACTCTTCTGCAGAAGCGAGGCAATTAACTCTTCCAAGAACAGAAGCAGCATGTTGAAGAAAATTTGGGGGATTGGAATGGGGGTATGTGTGGATTTTTCCTCACAAATCTGCAGGAAACATGTTGAACATAAATTCAAAAATGTTATCCCATTCATGCCTCCCCTAGTTCTGTGAGTCTGGTTGTCTGTCACTCCTCACAGAGAAACTGTTCTTCAGTTCACTCATTCAGGGCAGCCTACTTTATTGCTGCTACTGTAGGAAGTGAGGCGACTCCGTTGCAGATTTCCTCTGTCCCCAGGTGCAGGCCACCTGCAGGCCTGAATGAGCCTTTTTCATCCCCCAGGGCCTCTAATGCCCTGCCATAGCCTCCCTACATTCTCTGTGAAGGGACTACACAGAGTTGGATTTTAGCACACACACATGATCCCTCCCCCTCCTCTTTTCTGGCTGTATGTAGGGGCTGGATGAGTTGGCAAACAGCCCATTTGGTCAGATTTATAAATTTTGTTCCATTTTAGCAAAGCAGAAATATGTTCCAAATGTTGGATCCTAGGAGAATTCAGGATCAACCTTGCACAAATAATTTATTTTTATTGTCTGCATGTGTAAGTCCTGCAGTGACCTACACATTCCATCTTAATTATTCAAAGGGCCATTGAGCACTCCCCCTACCCCCAAAAAAGTATGCTAATGCTAGGAAACCTGATTTTGCCACCCAGTGAAAATATATCCCTGCTCTGAGCTGTGAGGAGGAACCTGGGGAAAGGAGAGGCAGAGAAAATGACTTATTCTATGCCTACATTGTTTACCTATCACTTGCTTGGTGGCAGTAACGAGATTCTCACTTAAGATGCCATTAAACACATTTATCAGCCGGGCGCGGTGGCTCACGCCTGTAATCCCAGCGCTTTGTGAGGCTGAGGCAGGCAGATCATGAGGTCTGGAGTTCAAGACCAGCCTGACCAACATAGTGAAACCCCATCTCTACCAAAAATACAAAAATTAGCCAGGAGAGGTGGTGCGCACCTGTAATCCCAGCCACTCAGAAGGATGAGGCAGGAGAAACGCTTGAACCCAGGAGGTGGAGGTTGCAGTGAGCCGAGATCACACCACTGCACTCCAGCCTACACGACAGAGCGAGACTCCGTCACACACGCACACATACTGCACTCCAGCCTGGGCGACAGAGTGAGACTCCGTCACACACACACACACACACACACTCCAGCCTGGGCGAGAGAGCGAGACTCTGACACACACACACCCTTTGCAGTGATTTTAATCTAGAAACCTTAATGATTTTCTGCCTTTTCAAGCCCAGCTCAGCCCTCTTCCTCACACACCCAGCAGGTGGCACTCTTGCATACGTTTTGCTGCTGGTCCAGTTTTTCATTGGCTCACCATTTTTTATTTACAATTTCAGAGTAAGTGTTACCCACTAACAGTTATCTTGAGAATCATAGCTTTGGATGGGTCGTAGCCTCATCCGCATCCATTTTTCATCCTACTGATCTGAAAAAACCATTTCAATCATAGTATATAAAGTTGCTCCAGATTTTAGGGTCTGTTAAAAAAAAAACCTAAATACTCAGGTGAATGATCACTTAGAGTAATTTATTGATGTTTCAGAGTCTGAAGGGGCGGGTTAGAGGAGAGTGAGTTTACAATCATTTTCTACTGCGGAAAAGCTCATATTTCAAATGTAATTCATCTCTCTTTGAGAGATACATTTAACACTAAAAATGCAGCTGTAAGCCAGGCATGGTGGTGCACACTTGTAATCCCAGCTACTCAGGAGGCTGAGGTGGGAGGATCGCCCAGGAGTTCATGCCTGTGAAAGGCCACTGCACTCCAGCCTGAGTAACACAGCAAGACCCCATCACTAAAAGAAAGGAATTTAAGAACAAAAAAGCAGCCATACTGGAAGTATAGGAAAGGGGCTTTGTAAGAGGCAGGAAAGAAGTTAACTCAGTGTCCAAAGTTTTGTCCTAAAGAGAACAGGAAATTCCCTGGGTGGTTTTGCAACCACTTGGCCCCAAATGTGGTTTCTGTGATCCTGAATTAATTACCTAGTTAGGCAGCTGTGTAGCCCACACCTGAGGGAAAGTTGCCAACCTAACACTTTTTGTTCTAAGACCTAGCTGGTGAGACGTGAGGGACTTGGTAACATAAATGTGGTGATAACCACAGAAAAATAATTATGAAACTGGCCCAACAAAGCCCAGCTCAATGGAAATGGCCAGCACTTCTTTTTTCCTCCATTTAAAATGGAATAAAAGCAGCTACCTTATACATTTTATACTAGCAGGTACTCTGTACACAGCATGTCCCATAAAATGTCCACATGTTATCTCCAGAATCCTAATCTGCAAAGTGGGTGTTCTCACAGCTGTTGACTGGGACTCACCCCAGATTTGGACGTTGATTCAAACAGATGTTTCCATTGGTTCTGTATCTGAAATCTTGTTACTAACCTAATAAAAGTGCCTAGGGAAGTGGCTGTTTCACACTGTTTGGTGAGATGTTTGGGGTCATCTCACCAAAGAACAAACCAGACCACAGTTGCCCAGGTATATCAAGGGGTCAGTGTAGGGTAGGTGCTAAAAGTGAAACTGGTCCCTCTGAGGTCACCTACTCTTGGCTCTGAGTCCTAGGGTCCAGGACTTGGGTACCCCCACAGCTCTGCACTCATGAGTCTGTGGCTCTCTGTCCATCTGGCCATAGTTCAGAAGCCTGGCTTTCTCCACCCTTATGCTTTGTCAATTTGGTTTAATACATAAAGGTGGTTTAGTTCTTGTTTGTCTTTTAAACACCTTCACAGATATCATTTGCACCTTGACAAAGGTGAGAGATGAATAAAGCAGGAATATTATCTTCGTTTTACAAGGAAACCCAAGTACCAAAGAGATGATGTGATTTGCCTAAGACCACATGATTTCTATGGGGCAGGGCCTGAGCTCCAGCCCAGCATTCCTGATCCTTACCCTGGACTCTGGCTCCCTGGGCTGTGAGGGGAGTACAGTAGTGGGAAATGCAGGCTACACTCCAAGGACTCGAATCCCTGAGTGGCAGGCCTAGTTCTTTCCCCAGCGGGTCCTGGACCTTCCAGCTTCAGGTCCAAGCTTTTTGGCAACCTGTATGAGCGCGGAGCGAGAAGTGCCCTAGATCAGACTCCAGATCGTTCCTAGTGGGGCTGTCAGCGGCTTTAGCCTCACTGGGCGCTAGGTGGGGGTGTCTGCTCCGTACCCGGACGAAGGCGGGGCGCCCGCTGGCAAAGCGCATTTTCCAGCGCAAGCTGTTGGGGTGTGGGGCTGGCGGGAGAGGGAAAACAGAGGGGGGCGCGCCCACCTACAGCGTCTGTGCAGCCCCACCTGGGCCGCGGGTTGGTCTCAGCCGGATCCTGCAGCCTTCATCGAGCTAAGGCTGGGCGCGGCGCCCCTACGGCCGGGGAGAGAAGAGGCTGGGAGGACGCAACAGGCCCAGGCTGTGCCGGGCGGGGAGCCTCGGCGGGCAGCTGCGCCCCCAGCCCTTGGGCCGACCAGCAGACGGAAAGGGTGGCGCTAAGTCGCCTTCAAGCCCGCACGGCTCTCCCGGCCTTTCCTCCCGTCCTCGGAGTCAGCTCCCCCGCCCGGGACGTCCCGCGCCACTCCGCGCCTTTGGCCCTGGCTCAAGGTCTTGTGATGTGATTAGCAAAGCCAGCGCCTTGTCCTCAGACACTCAGCCTGCCCTGCAGGCCCCGGCGCTCAAGCCCTGTTTACTGAGCCTGGGCGGGGAGGGGGCGGAGAAACGAGCCCGGGCTCCACCGGCAAGAGTGCCGCGGCGGCCGCCCGCGTGGCCACCCCCACCCCCACCCCCACCGCGACTCCACGTGCAGTCGGGCTGGAGCCGCCACCGACAGGACGCAGGCCCCGAGCCCCCGCCTCCTGGCCGAAGCACCCTTTGCAAACCCGCTGGGCCGCGCGGATGGTTGCGATATTCTGGCATTTTGCAATTCCCGCGCCCAGCACAAAACCAAAGGTGGGAACTAAAAGCTCCAAAGGTCCGCCTCGGAGAACAGGGCAGGGAAAGACACGTCCAGGGCTGCAGAATCCCGGCCACGCTAAATGTACCGGGGCTCTCCGACCGCGCAGCCCCAGAAAAGGAAAGTCGTGCCTTCCCGCCGCCACCCGGCGGCACCCACTGGGGCCGAACGCTACACGCCGCACCGGGCGCCCGGGTCGCTGGCCCCGCCCCGAGGCCTCCCGCCCCCTTCCCCAGAGGAAAAAAATTGGCGGCGGCCAATGGGAGGCCGAGAAGGCGCCTGACGTTCGCTAGCTGGCGGGCGGCGTTGCCTGGAGACTCCGGCGGGGGCCCAGTTCTGTCCCCTCCCCCGGCGCGCCCGCCCCGCCGCAGCCGCACTCCCGGGCTCTATATAGGGCGCGCGCTCGCGGGCTACAGAGTTCCAGCAGTCCGCGAGCTGCCGTCGGCTCCGCGGGGGGGCGGGCCGGGCACCCCGGGGCGCGGAGGAGCGCTCCTCGCTTCTCTCCTTCCCCCCTGCCGCACTCCGCCGGACCCTCCCGCCGGCCCGCGCCGCTGCCCTCGCCCTCTCCTCTCGCCCCCCGGCAGACTTTCGGCCCCTCCCCGCCCCTCGCCCGTTATTCGTCGTGGCTCAAGCCCGGCCACGCCACCCCGAGGGCTCCTCCCGACCTCCCGGCCTGCCGCTCCGGCCACTGCGGGATCCAGAAACATGTCGACCACACTTTTGTCCGCGTTCTACGATGTCGACTTCTTGTGCAAGGTACGCCGGGGAGCGGGCCGGGCCGGCAGCAGCCGTTCCAGTTCTTGGACTTTGCCTCTGTCCCCTGGTCCTGGGGGACGCCCCTCCCGCCCTGCCTTTCGGGTCGGGAAAGTCCCGGGGTTTGCAAAAGTGTGTGCGAGCGCCCTGGAGGAGGAGGGGGCGGCAGGGAGGGCGCTGGTGTCGCGGTTGAGTTTCTCCACTGCCGACCGCGGCCACGCTGCCCGGGGCTTCCCGGACGGGATTCGCGCCGCCCACCTCGGCGGCCGGGGCGGAGGATCACGTGTCGAAACCCAGCGCGGCCCGCGGTGGGCGTCCTCCCCTCTGCCGCTCCCTCCAGCAAGATCTTGCTGCTTTTGCGTGTGTATGGGTGGAGGGTGGACGCCGAGTCGGGATCCGCCAAGAGTGGGGGAAAAAGAGGAAAGGAATCAGGCTGGGAGTTCCTCTGTGGCTCGACCCGAGTCTGTCTTCCCCTTCCGTTTTTCATCCCTTCCACGCTCCCCTTCCTTTGGCAGACGGAGAAATCCCTGGCCAACCTCAACTTGAACAACATGCTGGACAAGAAGGCGGTGGGGACGCCCGTGGCCGCCGCCCCCAGCTCCGGCTTCGCGCCAGGCTTCCTCCGACGGCACTCGGCCAGCAACCTGCACGCACTCGCCCACCCCGCGCCCAGTCCCGGCAGCTGCTCGCCCAAGTTCCCGGGCGCCGCTAACGGCAGCAGCTGTGGCAGCGCGGCGGCCGGCGGCCCGACCTCCTACGGCACCCTTAAGGAGCCGTCGGGGGGCGGCGGCACAGCCCTGCTCAACAAGGAGAACAAATTCCGGGACCGCTCGTTCAGCGAGAACGGCGACCGCAGCCAGCACCTCCTGCACCTGCAGCAGCAGCAGAAGGGGGGCGGCGGCTCCCAGATCAACTCCACACGCTACAAGACCGAGCTGTGCCGGCCCTTCGAGGAGAGCGGCACGTGCAAGTACGGCGAGAAGTGCCAGTTCGCGCATGGCTTCCACGAGCTGCGCAGCCTGACTCGCCACCCGAAGTACAAGACCGAGCTGTGCCGCACCTTCCACACCATCGGCTTCTGTCCCTACGGGCCGCGCTGCCACTTCATCCACAACGCGGACGAGCGGCGGCCCGCGCCGTCCGGGGGCGCCTCCGGGGACCTGCGTGCCTTTGGCACGCGCGACGCGCTGCACCTGGGCTTCCCGCGGGAGCCGCGGCCCAAGCTGCACCACAGCCTCAGCTTCTCGGGCTTCCCGTCGGGCCACCATCAGCCCCCGGGCGGCCTCGAGTCGCCGCTGCTGCTCGACAGCCCCACGTCGCGCACGCCGCCGCCGCCCTCCTGCTCCTCGGCCTCGTCCTGCTCCTCCTCCGCCTCCTCCTGTTCCTCGGCCTCCGCGGCCTCCACGCCCTCGGCCCCGGCATGCTGCGCCTCCGCGGCGGCCGCGGCTGCGGCCGCTCTGCTCTACGGCAGCGGGGGCGCCGAGGACCTGCTGGCACCTGGGGCCCCGTGCGCGGCCTGCTCGTCAGCCTCGTGCGCCAACAACGCTTTCGCCTTCGGCCCGGAGCTCAGCAGCCTCATCACGCCGCTCGCCATCCAGACCCACAACTTTGCCGCCGTGGCCGCCGCAGCCTACTACCGCAGTCAGCAGCAGCAGCAGCAGGGCCTGGCGCCCCCTGCGCAGCCCCCGGCACCGCCCAGCGCACCCCTCCCCGCCGGGGCCGCCGCGCCTCCCTCGCCGCCCTTCAGCTTCCAGCTGCCGCGCCGCCTGTCCGACTCGCCCGTGTTCGACGCGCCCCCCAGCCCCCCGGACTCGCTGTCGGACCGCGACAGCTACCTGAGCGGCTCCTTGAGCTCTGGAAGCCTCAGCGGCTCCGAGTCCCCCAGCCTCGACCCCGGCCGCCGCCTGCCAATCTTCAGCCGCCTCTCCATCTCCGACGACTGAGGCAAGAGGGCGCCAGTGAGGAGGAAGGGAAGGCGGTTCAGAGATGTTGGAGGATACCCCTCGCCATCTCGCCCCTGCTGGGGGCCCGGGAGTGGGGGTGGGGGGCGGTGACATGGGCCCCAGGCAGACTGCAAGCCCGACCGAGCACTTGGACTCGAACTCTGTGCCTGGAGGGGCCCCCACCTCTCCTTTTTCGGTTTCCTCTTTTTTTTTTTTTTTTTTTTATTATTATTACGAAGTTTCATTCTTTTTGAGCAAAAAAGTCGAGGAACTTTTTCTATTGAACAAAATATTCACAACAGGGCAGTTGTGATACGAATAGAACAAAAAACAAACACTTAAACTTTTTTAGGACTCCAATGAGTTTGGGACTTCAGGAAAAATCAACCCAGCACCAGCAGCTATCAACCACCATTCCATCTCTTCACTTGAACAGCATTAGTTAAGTCCAGATGTGGGAACCCTTAAGAAGTTCCTAATTGTTTGTCTCAGACCGGTGTTATGCCAGCCAGCCACCACCTTGCTAAACCTATAAGCTTTTTAGAATCCAATATTCTGCCAAGAATATGCCTTGATAGTTAGCCCTCAGCCCATAGGTGTTTTTTGTTTTTTAACAATTATATATGTCTGGGGGTGAAAAACAAACCCTTGCATTCCAAAGGTCCATACTGGTTACTGGTTTCATCGCCACCACTTAGTGGATGTTTAGTTTAGAACCATTTTGTCTGCTCCCTCTGGAAGCCTTGGGCAGAGCTTACTTTGTAATTGTTGGAGAATAACTGCTGAATTTTTAGCTGTTTTGAGTTGATTCGCACCACTGCACCACAACTCAATATGAAAAAAACTATTTAACTTATTTATTATCTTGTGAAAAGTATACAATGAAAATTTTGTTCATACTGTATTTATCAAGTATGATGAAAAGCAATAGATATATATTCTTTTATTATGTTAAATTATGATTGCCATTATTAATCGGCAAAATGTGGAGTGTATGTTCTTTTCACAGTAATATATGCCTTTTGTAACTTCACTTGGTTATTTTATTGTAAATGAGTACAAAATTCTTAATTTAAGAGATTGTATGTAATATTTATTTCATTAATTTCTTTCCTTGTTTACGTAAATTTTGAAAGATTGCATGATTTCTTGACAGAAATCTATCTTGATGCTGTGGAAGTAGTTTGAGGAACATCCTATGAGTTTTCTTAGAATGTATAAAGGTTGTAGCCCATCCAACTTTAAAGAAAAAAATGACCACATACTTTGCAATCAGGTTGAAATGTGGCATGCTTTTCTAATTCCAACTTTATAAACTAGCAAAAAAGTGTTTGCTTATTCCACCAGTTCTGCTGTGACATACTGGAGTATCTTAAGACATGTAGCAATAACGGGGAGTGGGGGGGAGTCTCACAGTGCCTTTGGAAGGGCCCGAACTTGCCTTAAATCTTCCTCAACCAAATAAGTATTTTATTAGTGCTTGAGAGAATCTGAATGTAGGATGGGTTCAACTGCACAAAAGGAAAAGATTTTTACCACTTTTTTTATATAGATATAAAGTGAAGCGACCGCCTCTTAGTGCTGAAATATGTAGTACACGAATATGCCTTGTTTAATTACAGAAAATTCCAAAACTTGTACTATTTTTTTTTTTCCGTGTAGAAAGGCAGGAATGTTTCCTAAGCTTTCCTGGACAGCAGATGAATGAGCGGTAGCTTTAGTTTGTATGTAGGTACAGTTGGAGCACTATATGTACTCTCTGGACTACTTTGACAGAAGTAGGTTTTTGAATGTAACAAGATAAGTCAACTTGAGTTGTAATATATTTTGGGGAATCAGTTCACTACAAATTGTGACTGTAAACATTGTACTGTAAATGTTTTGTAGTTTTCCCCCAATAAAATTTTTGGGAAAAAAAGGTATTACCATGTAAGAGCTTTCTTTTTAAACAGGAATGTCTAGCTTTCTAGCTTCCCAGCTAACCATGTCTGCCATTCCCCAGGACTTGGCACTGTCAGGAAGGACTTGGAGCTGGCAGAGCCAAGAGTTCAGAAGAGCCTGCGTCCTCTCAGCCTGTATATATTTTATAAGCAAGTTCTTCTAACTGAAAGAAAGTAATTATTTGGACTGTCAAGGGCATTAGTTAGCTGTTCCCTTTGGTAATAAGATGCATCCCAGAGTTGGCAGGCTGGCTGGCTGGCTGGCTGGTGGCAGGGCCTGGCCAGGAGGCCTGAAGGGGTGTGGCCTGCCTGTGAGTCACCGGGTGGATCATGTGGCTGCGGTAGCAGCTGAGGGTCTGATTTTTTTGCTGGGAAACAGAACTGCTTGGGTGGGGAAGGGGAGGAGGATCTTTCTGCAGCCGGTGGCCTGCCAGGCCTGAGTGCTGAGCTGGAGGTGGAGAGTGAGGCCAGGCTTTTTCTGGGTCGGAGAACTGGAGTTTTGCCTGGATTTTGGAAAGCCTGGTATGTCCTTGTTCAGGGTGGAGGGAAAGATAAAACAGGTTAAACTTATATCTGAGTGATGTTTGCTTATGTGAACAACTTCTCTGGGAATGAACACATTCAAGTTATTTATGCAAAAAGATTTCATGTCTGTGCTTTAGAGGACTGTAAGTGACCAGAAAGCAAATTCAACCCAGGTCTCTAGAAAAAGGGAAAAAAAGACATTGATTTGTCTGCTGATTTCGCAAACAGTTGAACAAAATCTTACCATAGTGACTCTGGCTGTTTCTAACTTTAAAACAATCATTTTAGGAACTTAAATCGGGTTCATAAATCAATTCAGGTTTTTCTCCTCCACCGCTGCCCCTCATACACACAGTTCAGACACTTTTTCCAAAGTAGGTAAGAGATTTAGCAATAGTTTGCTTTCTCATATACAACAGCTGGGCTCCATCAACAATCCTCGCATCCCCGCTCCCTCCAGGGCCCTGCCTTAGTCAGGGTCTCTGGTGACTCACAGCTGAGCATGGAGGGGAGGGGGCGGTCTGATGGATACGCCAGGCCTCGGGC